TTGGAGGGCTGCCTCTCTGATCATCAGGAACATTTCCCAAGAACACATGAATGCAGTGTATTGAGAAAGGACAACCTAAGCTTGGGTTTCCTTTTTCCTGCAATATCCCAGAATGGAGGTTTGTATCTGATGTCTGCCTATGTTAATTCAAAGCCTGCCTTTATATCTGAAGTAAGAGCTCATTAAGTTTCAATGGAGCCCTAGGGAAAAATGTCATAAAAACAAGTGCTGGAACTACAGCTGGGCTGTTATAGTATTGATTAAGTAATGCAGCAAGTAAATGTTGTTAGAATGCAAAAAGCTTTTAAAAATCAGTATAGCAAATGGGAGAGCGCTTTATTTTTAACTAAGATGTTTTAGCAGTGGTTTGTAGGATTGCTCACGGGGTGGGAGAACTTTGAAAAAGTGCATTTATGTATCAGCTGCTATCAACAGATCAGACTGTTAATCAAGATTGGTGTATTTAGTTGATTTATATACGACTCCTAATGTCTGTTAAGTAGACAGTTGCCCATTAACTCAAGTTTTACTGTGGATTATGCTATTTATGTCCATTAAATGATATAAATCTATAAATAATGCACATTTGGATTTAATAGACGTACCCGATTTCAAATTATCAGTTAAATCAAGGTTTAATTAATTTTTCTTCTGCCTTCATAATACCTATATTCAGCCAATGAAGGAGAAAATCTTTTCTTTGCCATCTATTCTCCTAAGCCATGTTTTACAAAATGAGACTAACTTGGCGAAGAAAAGATAACTTGGATAGCCCAGCTATCATGCTATTTTCCTTTAATCGTTGCAATAAACTTGCAAAATAGGCAACACGGCAAAAAACTTACAAAAACCAAGGGAATTTTGGATTTAACGGCAACTTGAATTTCAACTTGACTTGGCAACTGGCTCGCATTTATGATCGCATATTATGCTTGTAATGTTCTCCAGTCATGTAGTTGTGATTTGTGTCACTGTGAGCTGGTTTCCGGCAAAAAAATTCAGTTGGGGAAGCTTAATGTCTATGGCGATTTGTGTAATCGTGGTAAAAATGATCATAGAATTGGGTCTGGATACGTGATGATTCGCTTTACAACTGCAGTGACTTAAGACATAAATTCTGGTTCCAACTGTACATAAATTGACAGCTACTAATACATGCTTCTAATACAAAATTAAAGATTTCATCAAAGTGGAAATATCTGCTAAAATATGTGAATATAAAATGACTGCAATAAAATCTAGAACAGTTAATGGAAGATAATGGCAACCAAGATTTGATTGTCATTTCTTTTCTCCTCTTGAAAGCAGCTTTGACTTTTATTAACATCTCAGAAACATCAAGGTAGAGAGATATATAATTCAAGATAGTAATTAGGCTTATGCAATCACTCCCCCCCTTTTTATATGCATCATAGACAATGGGATACAAAAAGGGGCTGAGCTTTAATCACAGCCACATCTTGATTTTATTTTTTGATCCTCCTAGTGCAGTGATGGCGAACCTTTTAGAGACCGAGTGCCCAAAAACTGGCCCCTGCCCCTGCTCCACCCCCTGCCCTGCCCCGCCCCTGCCCACCCCTGCTCCGCCCCACCCTGCCTGCCCACCGGGCCACTCACCGCCTCCAGGGCCCGCCACAGATTGCCCAGGCAGCCCAGCAACGCCATGGCAGCCATGCCCTCTGCCCACGCCCCGCAGCATCAACTCTGTGTGTTGGAGTGTGAGGGCAGAGTGTTGTCTACGCTGCCTGGCTGCCGTGTCCTTGGCTGCGCTGCTCAGCGTGGGCCACGCTCAGGGGCGACTCTCCTCCAGGGAGGCTGCTGGTGAGGGGGTCACGGGTGGAGGCAAGGCTGGGGCAATGGCATGTGTGCCCACAGAGAGGGCTCCGAGTGCCGCCTCTGGCACCCGTGCCATAGGTTCACCACCACTGTCCTAGTGGATGCTTCTGATTTGGTGATAAAGCCAAAAATTCCCTGCCATGGCAAGCTAGACTTCTAGGGCATCTGCTTCTTAAAACAAATTAATACACATAAGCTGCAGAAACATGGTAGAACTAGTAGCCATTGATTAACTGATTTATGTATTTATGTAACCAAATCCTGAGTTAGAAAGTTCCATATAATTATTATATAAAATATGAAGAAATACCTCTGCCTGTTTTGTACCTCCCACTGTTCAGCTTTGTTTGATAACTATAGCCGCAAGAATGAAAGGATAAAAGCAGTAAAAGAATGATTTACTTCACCTTGGAAATGCTGCAATTTCAGAAGCAAAAGAGAAAGTTTTATGTTTTGTTTTCCTTATGCCTTGCTTTCCCAAACCCCACCCTTCAATTAATAGGAGGGAACTGATTTATGTCAGTTGCTGAACAGGCAGGTGCAACACTTGGGTTTAGAAAATATGCCCTGACATTTGAAGGACTGTGGCATATCTACTAATTTTTCCCATTTCCATCATTGGAATTTGATGCTAGAAAAGAGCCACGGTCATTTCTCTTGAATTCTCCTGCAGGCAGATCTCTGCCCATGTTTAAAGATAGATATGTCTGAACAAATTTATCTTCAGTATAAGCTTTTGTGTATGCAGCTACCTATAAAATACACAACCATTCTGTATCTTTGTGTTAACACAAACATGGACTAAGATATTAACAGTAACTTTGACAACATGGAATTAAGTCTCTCTGGATTTAATCAGATTTAATCAGTCAAATGCTGTATTGGTTATCTTTAATTTGCCATCACATTCTCAGACTAAGATATTTAGAAAATCCTAATCTGGGCATTTTATTCTGTCAAGAACACAATGAGAATTAAGTTACACTGGGCAGCATTCTAAGCAAGGTCCAAACACTATATCTTAAATTCTGTATCCAAAGAGTGGACTTAACATTTCTTGATTACTGGTAATCCTCGACTTATAACAGTTCATTTAGTGACTGTTCAACATTACAATGGCACTGAAAAAAGTGACCTATGACCGTTTTTCACATTTAACGACCATTGCAGCATCCCCATAATCAAAATTCAGACACTTGGCAACTGGTTCATATTTATAATGGTTGCTGTTTCCCAGGATCATGTGTGATCACCTCTTGAGACCTTCTGACAAGCAAAGTCAATAGGGAAGCCAGATTCACTTAACAACCGTGTTAATAACTTAACTGCAATGATTTACTTAACAACTGTGCCAAAGAAAGTCATAAAATGGGGCAAAATTCACTTAACAACTGTCTTGCTTAGCAACAGAAATGTTGGGCTCAATTATGGTAGTTAAGCCGAGGACTATCTACACTGTATTTCTCTCAAATTGGTTACAAAATGAACACACCTTCCCTCTTCTACCCTACCCACGTTTTACAACCCTATAAACATGTCCAAGCTCTTAGGTGTGCCTCAATAGGCTTTGCTAAAATCCTGGCCCATGGATCTTGTGACACTAATAAAATTTGTTTTCCTAAATAGGATATAAAATGCAGAGAACAACTATGCCGCCTATTGACAGGACTTCTAACATGTGCTCTTAAGAAAAGCTAGTTTAAGGCTGCCATCTCCTGCTTCTGCAGTAAATTGCAGCAATAAAAAGAGAAAATCACATATGCATCATAGTAATTCCGCCCCTACACACACTAAACAGCAGCTATTGTCAAGAGCAAAATAGTATGCCCTTCTCTATACAAAAATGTTTTTCTTCAGAGTAAAATTGTTATCTACCGAATAGCTAATTACTGGTTAATAAAATGTTATGCATCCACATTTCTCAAAAGGAAAACAGTAACATTTGGGGGCTCCTTAAGTTCCTAACAAATCTATGATCATCAAGGTTTTGTGGATCACAGGCTTTTCATCAGATGTATGGAGTACAGCACAGTAAAATATAGAACTGATTTTATCCAGCAGTCCTTTCCCCTCCATGTTTTGTGACTTCATTTGTACAATCGTATACTTTATTACCGAACGATTTTGACATTGCAGTCTTTGTAGTCTTCAATATAACTGCTATTCTAAACTGCATTACTAGACCCACACTGCCTAAGAAATCAAATGGAGTTGACAGTGTCTTCACCCACCTTTGATTAAAATTACTTCAAGATGGCTCAAGAGAAAACAATAAAGTACAAATATTAGAAACAGAGAAATGAAAAACAGAACTGAGAGGTAACAAGAACAGAGCAACTGCCAAGAGGAAGCTATTGCTTTACCGGTTCTGGTTAGCCAACCATCCTACAAGCCCGGATCTGACTCAGAAAATGATAATTCTTTGGTCAGTCAAGACCCAAAAATCTGGGAAGAGTAAACTAAACAGTAAACTAAATTGAGCTAAATTCAGCTTCACCTAACCCAGTATATTTCAGATGTTAAATGGAAAAAGGCCGTAATGTCCGCCCCCCCCTTAGGTCAAAGGAGTGCAGCTGAGGAGTCATTTCAAGAGGTAGGTGTTTTACACCTGCACCTTGCGCCCCATTAGCTCAGTGTTTCTCAACCTTGACAATTTTAAGGCATGTGGACTTCAACTCCCAGAATTCCACAGCCAGCAATGCTGGCTGTGGAATTCTGGGAGTTGAAGTCCACATGCCTTAAAATTGTCAAGGTTGAGAAACACTGCTCTGGTAATAGGCTGTCTCTTCTTACTGGCTCTACTTTGATACACTATTATTAAAAGAATTATATAATAACACCCTCCCCTTTTGGAATATAAAACAATGCCAACAAGCAGACAATCTCCCACCCCACCCCGTTGCTTTGACACACGTCCAATGTGTTTCCGCCACAGCGGGAAAGCAACAAGCCCGGAGCACGCGAGAACCCGCGATATCTCGAAGCAGAGGCCTCCTCGCGCCGCCCGGGCGGCCGCGGAGGCTTCCGGTTGCCTCCGTGGTTTGCTCCCTCCCCGTGCACGTTTCAGCCGGCTTGGAGTCTGCGCGGTTCAGCAGTGGGTGGGAGCTGCCCGACTGGCTTGGCGAGGCACGAGGCGCGGCTCTGTTTCGGCCGGGTAGGAAGGAAGGGACGCGGGGCGTTTTGTTAAGCTGCTTCGGCCGTGTCTCTCCCGCTACTTCTCTTGCTTCGGTCGTGGCGGCTTTGACGGCCTTGCAAGCCAACCTTTCTTCGGCATTCAATCATCTTAAAAGATTTGCTGATTTTCCAGTCGCCCATCTCGTTGCTCTTTTTCTTTTTTCCCCGGTTCCGGGTTCGCCGTCTTTTTCAGTTCACCTTAAGCTCTTCTCTCGAGGTGCCCTTCTTTCCAGCCATCTTGCAACTGCCCTTTGTCCATTTCACCAGCTATCTCAAGTTTCTCAGTTGAGAGTGAGCGGCGCCTTTGTGGATATCCTGCGGACTAGCGCCTTTGCCCTGTGGCTTTCAAAACGGCTTACTCTTAAGCCACTTCTTTGCAGCCTGGTGCCCTCCGGTTGTGTTAGACTTCAGCTCCTATGAGTAGGTACATTGATATCACAACGGTACACCCGTGGTCTGCGTATTTGAGGGTCGAAATGGGGGTACCTAGATTCAAGTCCCTCTCCAACCCAAGAGCTTATTTGCTTGTCCCAAAACTCAGCCTAATTTATTTCACAAGATTATTTTGAGGATCTGATTAGAAGATAAGAATGTGTATGCTGCTTTGAGCTGTGGAAAGATAGATCGGTCATGCCTCCCATTTTTTTATTCCCTGTGGCATACCATAGGAATGGAAATAAAGGTAACTCTTTAACTTCAGAAACAATGGAGATGGGTTTGGTTTTGTTGCTTTAGAAGATTAACATATTTATCATGGCGAAGTCTTTCATGTACTATAATCCACTTTATGAATTGAGTGCTAATCCACATAATAAATATTTGAGAGTGTTTTAAAATATTGTACTACAAATCTTTTTTCCATAACCGATTAGCTTTCTGGAAACTTAGTTTGATCTGCAGGAATCTTTTAAAGGCATAATTTGTGGTGAAACTAGATTGTGCAGGATTGTTTTTTTTTATTTTTTTAATTCCAGGTTCTATTAAAAAACCTCAGTTTTTAGAAGCAAAATACGCTGTAACTATCAGTATTCCCCTTAAAACACCAGCCTAATAATGTGTAGCAGTAAACCTCAAGTATTGTTTCGGTTTAGTTTACCTGCCTGCCACTGAGGTAAGGTTTAAACCTGTGAAATGCACTTTCTTCATGCATTCCATTATTTATTGCAAAAAAGTAAAAATGAAGTTATCTTTAAATATTTTTTCTGAAATTTGAAAGTGTCCAGAGCTATTATGTGCCTTTAGTGACAACTACAACATACAGTATACTGTCTATGCTTATTTTTGCTTTATTAAAGTGTGAATTCCATTGTCTGTGCAGCCAAAACTGTATCACCTACCCCCCCTCCCCAATGTATCTGACGACTTATCAACATTGACGTGTACAGAAATTGAAACCTACTGTGCAGGAAAAAAGCAAAGTGGAAAGGAGAGAAGACCTGGCCTTAATTTTGCTGCTTATCCCTGTTTCCCATCGTTGTTCAGAATTACAATTACATTAGACTTTTGTCTTATTTTTATATAGAAATCCTGAACACTGCCCTGTGTTTCAGTTCATGCATAGTCAAAACTGCATTCACCCTGCACATAAAGGACTATGGATATTCTTAGGTGGGTAAACTTCAAGGTCTTTAAAGCATTGCAAACTAACACTAGAAGCAGAACTGAATTCTCCAATGAGATGAAGGTTGGACAGAGAAAAGCCTTGGGAAAGTGAGGTAAAAGGGGATGTGAAATTAATTATTTGGAAAGGAATGTGACTGGATATAACACCAAACAGGAGAGTTTTGTACTACAACATTTTCTTGCTGGATATACTGATAGTAAAACACTTATTTGGTAACATACTTTAATTTGTCTTTATTTTAGAATGAGACATGGCTGAAGATCCTCAGAGAAATTTCCGATCCGTGTACTATGAAAAAGTGGGATTTCGTGGTGTTGAAGAAAAAAAATCATTAGAAATTCTTTTGAAAGATGATCGGTTGGGTATGTGCAATATACTATGTAGTATAATGTTTACAGTTGCTAAGGATGTGTTTTAATTTTTGGCAGAATTACCTTTTATGGCTTTCAATTACTCTGTGGATTCTGAATTTCTCTAACAACTGAATGTCCATTTTTCCCAAAGCCTAAAATAATATTACAACAAGATAGAAATGAGAAATATTTTTTTCTCTCCATTTTCAACCTTTGAAAATATTCCATCTTAAGTATTTTATAGAGGCAAATCCTTTTAAGTCAGTCTTCTGCTGGAATTAAGAATAGTAGATGAGGATAAGTCTTGATTGAACTACTGTAATGTAATTACATGGGGCCAGCCAGCTGGTCCAGAATGATGTGCCTGTGTCAGAATAACAAGAGTTGGAAGGCACCTTGGAGGTCTTCTAGTCCAGTGGTTCTCAACCTGTGGGTCGGGACCCCATTTGGGGTCGATCAACCATTTCATGGGGGTCGCCAAGCAAGGCTGTCCGCCATTTTTTTTTGTCCGCCATTTTTTTTTGTCCGCCATTTTTTTCCCCTTTTCCAGCGGGTGCCTTACCTCCCTTGGGCTGAGCCAGCTGGTGGTCGGCCTGCTCCGTCTCTGCCACTTGCCAGCTACGCCTTGCGGCCGGCGCACGGGGCGGAACCACGCATGCGTGGCCCTCCCGGGCAGGGAAAGTCCTCGACTTACGACCGGTTGGGTAGTCCTTGACTTACGACCGGTATAGTCCTTGACTTACGACCGGTTTAGTCCTCGACTTACGACCAGTTGGGGTCACGGCATTAAAAAGGTTGAGAACCACTGTTCTAGTCCATCTCCCTGCCCAAGCAGGAGACCCATACCATTCTGGACAAATGGCTGTCCAATCTCTTCTTATAAACCTCCAGTGATGGCTCACCCACAACTTCTGAAGGCAAGCTGTTCCACTGGTTAATAGTTTTCCCCTTAGTTCTAGGTTGGTTCTCTCCTTGATTAGTTTCTATCCATTGTTTCTTGTTCTGTCTTCTGGTCCCAAAGGTGCTTTTATTTTAAAGGCACCTGGACTTTCTGATTTTTCTTTTTCGCTTCTCATCCAAGAAGCTTCAGTTCTAACTAACTGGAGGGGCGGGGAGGAAATGGGAGGGATTCATACTTTCTGCAACCAGGCAGTTAACATTCTGAGGGCTATTGAAACTACCTAGGGACCAAACTGTGCCCTCAGAGTCACCTGAATCAGAATGCAAACAAGTGTGGAACCATCTTGGGATTGCCGAAAGGACTGCATTGTAAACAGGTGATAGGTAGCGTCAGCAGAGGGGGAATATGTTTTCTGGAGAGCCTTTTGTTCTAGTGCCAGGGTTCCGGCGTCAGTATTGATTAGAGCTGCTTCATAACATTGTGAAACACAGTTTTTATATCTTTATTTACAGATATTGAGAAGCTTTGCACATTTAGTCAAAGGTTTCCTCTCCCATCGATGTATCGGATGTTGGTATGGAAGGTGCTTCTAGGTATGGAGATTGATAAAGACCAAATGCTTGCTTATAAATAACAAGGATGGCCTTGCTGATCTGCTTGCAGTTGTGCTCCCCGATAAAACCTTGCAATAGATGCCTTAGCTAGCAGGTATATCCGTTAAAATATATTAAGTAGTGGTGCTAAGCAATATTTTACTTTAACACATATAAAGTGAAATTTCCAATAGTTTGCATTATGTCTCTGAGTAGCTTTGGTTAACCTAGGGTATTTAGGAAGGAATCCTGCTTATTTTTTTTTCCTGAAAGTATTCTAACATTGCTCTATTCTAGATTTTTTAAGGTGGATCTAGGAAAAAATTGCTTTTTGAAATTTTCAGAAAGCTACTCTCAGTCAAAATAAGCAATTGTGGTTTTTAATCAATTTCCCAGTCCTGGCTTCTTTCAGATGTGTTGGAACTGTAAATTTCAGATTCTCAACTACATCTGTATCTGAGGTGGGGAAGACTGCCCTATGTAGACTCACTGGTTTGTTTCCTAAAAACAAATACATGGTTAAAATATTCAGTAACTTTGTTAATAATTAGGGAGACTTGGACGGTGCTTGGAATATTTTGTATAAAAGCTTTATTCTGTAATTAATCCTAAATCAGTCATACCTAAGTCCCTTTGCATATATGTACATATATTTATAGGGAGTACTCCAGTTAATTTAAAAACAAGTACATGAATGAGTCTTACTTTTCAGCTCATTCCTCCTGTACACTGTCTTCAGCAAGAAAACTGTCCTTGTAGCTTGTTAGTGGAGACATTCAAGAACATTTAGGCAGTGCTGTGACCATTTGGGTCATCTTTCGAGAGAAGGGTAGTGTACTCTGATGTGACCAGAATGAATATGAAATTTTAGGCTGACCGTATTTTTTTATCCTAATGGTGCACAGTCCTGTAATTGTCTAAAAAGAGTATAAGTGGAATAATAATTGTAGTGGCAAATGAACTTCAGTAGTAAGTCAATATTTACTTACCTAAAAAGATAATGGGTGGGGGGAAAAAAACAGTGGGAGCAGAAGTGACTTCTGACTACCTGCCAGTTTCCCTACTGATTTGGCTGGTCACGTGTTCACAGTTGTGATCACGGGGATGCTGCAGTGGCTGCAATTTTGCAAATAAAACTGGTATAAACATTGTGGAAATTTCAATTCCACAGGAATAACGAGTCTTGGATTTTTAACGTATGTTAGGTACCTTGATTCAAAAATTGTTGCAATATAATGCATAGTTTGGGCTAACTTGAGGATAGAAACAAACTTATAAGCACAATGAGAATTTTAGTAATTTATGGATAGCAAACTAGTGTTTGCAATAATAGGCCAAAGCATTTCTTATGAACAAATGCTAGATGCTAGATCTTTTTTTATTTGATCTGAGAATAATTGGTACGAAGATGAATGTTTCACCCTCAGAGCAAGTAGACTTAATCTAAACCTCTCGTTTTCTCTTTTTCTTTAAAGGAATTCTCCCACCTCACCATGACTCTCATGCATTTGTGATGAAATACAGAAAGGAACAGTATAGGGATGTATACCGTGCTCTTCAAGTAATTCGCTTTATCACAGATTCTACTCCACAGGTTGAAATATTCCTCCGGATATATCAGTTGGAATCAGGAAAGCTACCTCAAAACCCATCTTTTCCTTTGGTTAGTGAAGGTTAATTTTCCTTTTGATAAGATTTTTATACACAAACTCAGTTTTTTTTCCCTGTCTGAGACTTGAGTGCTGCTATGGCTGTTCAAAACATGTTGGTATTTGCAATAATGTGACAGCATCATTTGTATATAGCAATATAGATTCAGGTTTGTTAGCCAGTGTGAGGGCATGAAACTTTTGCTTAGGGCAGAGGTAGAGAACTATGGCCTCTTTATGACTTGGGGACTTCAACTCCCAGAATTCCTAAGCTAGCTCAGAAATTCTGGGAGCTGAAGTCCCCAAGTCATAAAGGGGCCATTGTTCTCCACTCCTAGCTTAGGGCATCTCCCATTGCATTGATATAATTAAAAAGAAATATACCCTTGCATAACCCCTTTGTTGGCCCTTATGTTTGAAACTGCCTGGCTATAGTCTGTCTTACCCTCAGATTGGTATTTTCTTACAAAGTGCATGTAATGGGCTGAGAACAGGTAGTCTTCTGTTGAGGTTGCCAATAGGGACTGGAATTTCTTCACTAAGTGATAAAGTCATAAAGTACAACATCATGCAACCGTACCGAGATTCCTGCATTTCTGGTTGCTATTGTTAAGGGAATCTCACCGCGTTGTTCACTGCAATGTCACATGGTTGCCATTCACACTATTGACTTTGCTTATTGGAAGTTGGCAGTGGAGGTTAAAAATGGCAATTACATGACCATCGGACACTGCAATGACGTAATTGTGATCCAGTCACTAACATAAATACAGGGCCACTGCAATTGTGATTCCTTGCCAGTCAGTGGATCCGGCAGCTAAGTCTGAGGAATCAGATGAGGAGGAGGGGCCTGGAATGACATTAGAGTCAGGAAGGCTTTGAGGAGCTCCAAGACTTACAGTTGTACGAGGAGCCTGGCCCCTCTATTCGCACTCAGGCTGAGACACAGCTGTGCTGGGAGCCTGAGTTGGACAGTGATGAAGAACAGTTGGGACAAATCCAGGATGCACGAAAGCGCAGGCAAGAGAAGCGAGTAGGACAGAGGAATGCAATGGGGCTGCTTCAAAGGCAAAGGAGAAGGCATTAGGAAGCCACGCCTTGGCTGAATTATAAAAGGGAAGGTGTGGGAGGTGTGTTGAGGATCGAGTTTCTGTGGACTGTGTTTGCCTTGGACATTGACTCAGGTCTGTGAGAATAAAAGAGGTTGGTTTTTTTCTTGCGGTTCTTGGAAGAGGGGTTTCTCCTTGTGAGCATAACAAGGACTCACGTAGGCTGGGACAGAACAGCAATAGCCAGAACTTCAAAGACCAGTTGTAAGTGTCACTCTTCCAGAATAGTCGTAAGTTCAAATGGTTGTTGAAGGTAAATGAGGACCACCTGAAAACACCTATCAATCATACTTTCATTTTTGACTTATAGTAACCAATCTTCAGGGCCCAAGTAAAACTTGTTCCTCTTCCATAATGTCTTTTAAACAGTCTCTCTACAGAGGCAGACAGTCTTAAAATTATCTTCTGGGTCCATTGTTCAAAAATACTTTTCAAAACGTCCAATGTTTAGAGAACCAGTTTGGTGTAGTGGTTAAGGAATCGGGCTAGAAACCAGGAGACTGTAAATTCTAGTCCCACTTTAGCCACAAAGTCAACTGGGTGACCTTAGGCCAGTCACTGTCTCTCAGCCCTAGGTCAGCAAAAGATGGCTATGTCCTCATTTCCCAGCAACTCCAAATCCACTGCTATCACATCCTCGCTCCATACCTGTCTGGAGCATTTGTGGGCGATCTCAAGCCCCTCTCCATGTTCGGAGAGTAATTATGAAGAGCTGGTCTACTTGCCAGCTCTTCTACTGAGGACATCAGCTCCACTTTTAGCAAAATCATTTTCAGTTCACCATTTCTTCTCAGAAGTCCTGTAGCTTTGCTGATTTAGTGCACATTTGTATCAAACATGTTGCTATTAGTGGGAACTTGATTACAAATTTTTAACTGAATGTATGATGCACATGCGGTCTTTCTCTGATTCTCTGCCATGCCCCCTTTGTTTTCTAGCAATCTGAAGATGAGATATTCCTTGCTATTGCTAAAGCAATGGATGAAATGGTGGAAGATAATGTTGATTGCTACTGGCTAGTCAGTAGTTTTGTGAACCAGTTAAACAATAAGTACAAGGAGTCATTACCGCAGCTGGTAAGAAAATAAGTGTATATCTGCAGTACTGCACATATGAGCTTATGTCCAGTACAGAAATGGGATTGCAGGTACAGGTAAGTCCTTGACATATGATCACAATTGAGCCCAAATTTCTGTTGCTCAGTGAGGACAGTTGTTAAGTGAGTTTTGCCCCATTTTACAACCTTTCTTGCCACAGTTGTTAAGTGAATCACTGCAGTTGTTTAGTAATAGAGTTGTTAAGTGAATCCGGCTTCCCCATTGACTTTGCTTGTCAGAAGTTTGGAAAAGGTGATCACATGACCCCGGGATACTTCAACCATCATAAATATGAGTCAGTTGCCAAGTATCTGATTTTTGATCACATGCCCGTGAGGATGTTGCAATGGTCATAAATGTGAAAAAATGGTCTTAAGTCACTTTTTTCATTGCTCTTGTAACTTTGAATGGTCACTAAACTGTTGTAAGTCAAGGACTACCTGTATATAATTGATAATATGTATCATGCTTACTGTTAGAGATAAGGAAAATATACATTTAAAATTACATGCAAACATTTGGGAGAAGCAAAGATAGTTATAATTATATAAGGTAGTTTCTGGCTATGGGCTGTTGGTTTTAACTAATTTCACATGAGATATCAATGCAAACATTAAAAAAATTGCCATGATTGACTCCTGCTGTTTGCTTGTCTTGTAGGCTTTATATTCACTGTCTGTAGCATGACACTTTCTAGTGTCATGTTAGCCATTTCTAATTTTTGTTGTGGATTTATGTAGTTATAAAACACTGATGTGTATATTTACATTGAGTTTGTGCATATGCAAACTTTATAATGGACTCCACTGAATCCTTTATCAGCACCACATTATTTTGCATTTGTTGTAATCGGTGAATTCAGAATTGTGGTAGCAGAAAATAATTTCTGTAAGTCCAATCTACTTATCTGTACTCTGTGACACTTGCTTCTGGTAAGGTATTATAGAAATATATATCATGGTTTTGAAGACTGAAGAATTGTGATCTAGATTGGAGAAAATAGAAAATAGTATAGTAGGAGATTGTTTGGCCTTGGCTTAGTGTGTATGTGTGATCTCCTCCAGTGACAGCGCACTAGTGAGAGATTGGGAATAAGCTGATTATTTCAGGCAAGATGAATCGTAAAAGGTAGGATAACTGAAAAAATGTTCCAATCTCATAGCAAGCACTTTTATTTTAATTATATATACTGTATGTATGTATACACACACACAAACACACACAAAACGTACTGGTCAGCTTCTATCAATTCTTCTTGATGATTTCTGTTACAATTCATAATCGTGAGCGTTGCCTGCAAAACTAAGAGGCTGCAAAAAAGTGACAGCAGAGATTGGGTTTGTCATAATATACTGTGTTCTGGATCATGTAACCCTGACTAGAGCATGTAGATCTGTATGTTAGAATGTTTGGCATTTATTGGGTTAAGCGCGGTCTCCTTAAGAGATGGCTTATGGGTAATGTAGTTTTAGCTAGTCAGCTATCCCATGTTAACAAGTATGTAGGAGGAGCCACTAAAGTTCATCACAGGATATCCTGGCCATGTGCCAGTTTGGAATGCCTTTGTCTGAGATAAGCATGGGACCACCGGAGGACTCAGATGGTCTCATTCCACGTTAGAAGTTGGTGTGGAGGAAGTATTAATTTCTTACCTATAAGGATAAACAGATGTATATTATCCAGAAGCAACAACTATAACTGCAAGTATTTCTGAATAAAATGTCTGTTTTATAATCATTCTTGTTATCTTAATGATCTGGGATTACAAAGCATCTTAACTCTGGATCAGAACATACTATGATTTATTGTGATAAGTGAGCCAGCTTCCTGCTGGCCTTCACATGCACCCTGTTTCCTTTTGCACATCTGCTAGGAGTAGATTGCAAACCTCCACCTTCAGTTTTGATTAAGTATATTATATTGTTGTACCTGAACTTTAAACAATGTGCTAACCTTTACTTGGTTTGGAGGTTATTTCAAGTGAAAGCAAAATTTTAAATTGCCGCGGTGATTTAAAGTGATTTTCCTTCTGAATCAGCTCCAGGGATTGAGAATTGGAAGCACTATTTTCCAGTGATTTCTTCCTTTACTCAGTTATATCTTTCAATCCGAGATTGGCAGAGTGAGGCTGTCAAAGTCCAGCCCTAGGGACTGCTGGCTATGCAGGCCGGGACTGGGATGGATTGGAATACGTTCAGTTCAATTTAGCAGTTTAGTTGTTAGGGCTGCCTGGATCTATCTAGCAAGATTCCTAGTGATCTCGGGTGAAGTTGCATCGCCTTACTTGGGTGGTGCCCAATCCGAGGGTGTTGTTGGACTCATAGCTCCTGTCTGATGAAAAGGTAGCAACAGGAAGGCCTTTAGGCAGCTTCACCTGGTGCAACAGTTGCACTCTTTCCTGGTTTAGGAGGCCCTTCAAGCTTGATCACTCATGCCGTAGTCCAGGGGTAGGCAACCTTGGCTCTTTTATGACTCGTGGACTTCAACTCCCAGAATTCCTGAGCCAGCCGTGCTGAGAGGAAAGGGAGAGGTTTCCAAGCTGAGCCATGCTGGCTCAGGAATTCTGGGAGTTGAAGTCCACGAGTCATAAAAGAGCCAAGGTTGCCTACCCCTGCTGTAGTCACTCACATCTTGTCTATTGCAAAAGCACCTTTGAAAACCACTTGGAAGTTTCAGCTGGTCCAAAATCCAGCAGCAGAGCATCACTTACATGCCCGATTCTGGATGTAATTCTAAGGTGCTGGTTATGTGGTTATAACCTATAAAAAAACTTATACAGGTAGTCTTCAACTTATGACCACCATGCCCCAATTTCTGTTGCTAAGCAAGGCAGTTGTTAAGTGAATTTTACCCCATTTTACAACCTTTCTTACCACTGTTGTTAAGTGAATCACTGCACTTGTTAAGTTAA